TTGCAGCCACATTACAGGGCGTGAGACCCCAGCTTCAAAGGAGGGGTGCTCTTGTTCTACTGCTGTTTGGCCTGCAGTGCCTGCCTCCCTTCTGCCTGTGGGAATCCTGCTGAAGCAACCTGGGGTCAGATCCCAGCTCACCTACGTGCCAGGCTGCTTGGTGGTGAGCATGTGGCCAGAGTGTTTCTTGTGAGTCCCCCCAGCCTGGCCCCGGTTGTATCAATAGCAGTAGCCATTCATTGCTCTTTTTTTTTTTCTTGTGGGGAGCAGGTGCGGTTCAAATTAAATTTCAGTTTTATCCTTTGTAGTTTTCTGCACAATAAATCATACGTTTATACATAAAGTGACATGGGTTTTGTGAGAAACATTTTTATTTTTGGTTTGCGTGGATGGTTGCTATGCAGCTCTTTTGACCTGTTTCTCTTCCTCCTGTTACACAGCTCTTGGATATCTTTTAGTTTGCCTTGATTTCAAACTAGCAGAAAAAAATCACAAAGATGACATGATGAACTACTGTGCACTCAGATTTGTCAGTTGTTAACTTGGTCTCTGCCCCCCCCCCCCCCACACACACACTATCTTTTTTCTGACCCATTTGAGAGCACATTGCAGACATGCCTTTTTATCTCTAAATAGTCAGTTTCCTAAGAACAAGAACATTCTCTTATATAAGCACTGTGTAATTATCAAACTCAGGAAATTTAGCATTGCTTCGATGGTATGATCTAATCCACAGGCCACATACAGTTTGATCACTGGTCCCAATAATGTCCTTTTTGACTATTTTTTCCTGATTCCAGATCACTGTTGCATGTAGTGGTCTTGTCTCTTTAACATCCCTTTAAGCTGCAACAGTTCCTCAGCTGTACTTGGCTTTGACATTGTGGTAGACTCCAGACAAGTTGTTCTGTAAAACGTCCCTCATTTTGGGTTGGAACCTCCATTCTTGAAAGTTCACACTGTCCCACTTGCTTTACTACACCCCCTATAATTCTCAGTGGTCCAAAATGGCTGGTGGTCCCATCCGCATTTTGTAGGAAAGTCAAATGACTTGTCTACAGTCACATTCTCAGGAAGTGGCAGAGTTAGGATTCAAATGCAGGACTATCTGTCTTGAAATCTATTCTGGCAATAGGAGTGATGAAAGCCGTCAGACACTGAGAATACCAAAATATTTATTGAGCACCTACTCTGTGCCAGATGTTTGCTGAGCATTCTACAAACACTGCAGTGCAACCCCAGTCCAGCAAAGTAGCTGATCTTTCTATCCCTGATTTGCAGATGAGGACCAGGGAAGTTAAGTTGACTATCCATGGCGACACAGCTATCAGGTGGGGACTAGCTCTGAGCCTGGAAGCCTGTATCCTGAGCCTGCACATATTGCCTCCAGGCTCAGGCCTGCTGGATTTCATGGAATCCAGGCAAGCATGGGAGCCAGGTTCCAGTGGCTGTCCAAGAGAGGTGCAGCAGTGTCTGACCTTACGTCCTTTTGGGGTTCTTCTTCAGGAAGAAGCTCAGAGCCTTCCTGGAAGAAGCAGTCAGTCCTCTGCCATCCATATAGGTCAATGGGCAGATGGGTTTTGATGATTTCCAGGTCAGGAATCCATCCGTATGCATGATTCATTTGACAGCTGGCTCACTCTCTCCTCTGAGCAGACAAGAACCCTGCCTATGGTGTGGCTGGTCCTGGCTGCTGTCAGCACACTGCCCAGCTCCTGTGTGGGTCACGTCCAGGTAGTGTTCAAGGCTAGCTGCCTGGATGATGAGGCTGCCTTGCTGGCAGTGAAACTGGTAACTATTCAATGCTGGGTGTTGTACCCTAGACCTCCTGCCTCTCTAATAGAGCCCTGCCTCACCTTGGGGATGCCTCTGCTTGTGCCGGGTCCCCAGCCACTGTGTACCTCACCTTCTGCATGGAGAAAGGAAGATCATACAGCCTTGCCTTGAGTCTTATGGAAGGAGCAGATGGTCTGGACTTGTGACACACTTGGAGTTCTGCTGGCAGAGAGGAGGGCTGATCCCAGAGCACAGCGGCTGAGGGGTTGGCACCTGGACCTCACCTCTGCCTCTCACCTCCTGGGGGTCTTGAGGGACCTGGGTCTGCCTGTCATGGGCACTTGGACTCTTCAGACTTCTGAGCACCATTTGGCCCCTGTGGTGATCTTCTGCAGACCTGAGTGACATCAGAGAAGTATTGTCAGCATCCTTAGAAAGCCCGTGGCTTACTTGGCCAGGTCAGGTGCAGTGTATCTCCATTAACCACAGAGCAGATGAATATCCCATCCTTGGGGACAGTGTGTCAGGCGGGAAGATGCAGGAGGGCCTGGGGAGGAGGCAGCCTCCGCACCCTCCAGGCCGAGGCCCCAGCACATGCTCCGCATTGGGCCTCTCTCTTCACGCCCGCTTCCTCTTCTGCAGGGGTTACTGGATTTCTGAGCAGGTTCCTCCGCAGTGGCCAAGTGGGTCCTAGTACCCATCCTGGGCTGGTCTCCTCTTCCCTGGCTCATCTCTGGGAGTGGGAGGTGACCCTGATGTTGTGACCTTCCCACTTTGCAGGAGGCTCTGAGGACCCTGGCTGGCCCAGGACTCTTGCCCCTGCTGCTCCAGCAGCTCCTGGGAGGAACTTATGCAGAAATTTGAGTTCCTTAATTTTCATGCAGAAATTTGAGTTCCTTAATTTCCATGCAACGTTGCTCCGCGTGTGTGCTGAAAAACATTGATTACAAAACATTCACCAGTTTGGCTGCCTTGGAAACAGGCAGAAGCCAATGTTATTGCTGTCTCCTCCTACCCCCTCCCAGTTACAAGCAGGAGAGGGAGCGAGCTTACAAACCATCAATTCAGTAGCCTCCTCCACCTCCCTGAGCTTTAGTTTCCACATCTGTGAAATGGAGTTGGCAGGTGTACCCCTCTCCTTACCTCCTGGGGTCATTGTGTGTATTTCAGTGGGTCCCTGGAAGACAGGCCTTAGTGAAGTGTCATCTACAGAGCATGCTTGTAACTGGCTGTGTTGTTACGATTAATTACATTTCTCTAGCACCTTATAGTTTAGAGAGCACCTCTTTTGTGCAGGGTTGAACTGGACCCTGGCAGCGCAGCTGGGAGGTGGGCAGTGATATAATGCAGTCCATTTCACAGATTAGTACACGGGAAGTGAGGCACACAGCCAGGTCTCAGCTGAGCATCCGGGACTCAAGCCCCAGGCTTCCTTTGTCCCCTTTGCCCCAGGGGCTGAGCCCTACGCTGAATACGTCATTGTGATGGAATAGGAAGAGGGGAGACCTTTTCTTATTTTCCTGTTGGGATGAGACTGTGAAGTTAAGTCTAGAGCATTGGCTTACATGGTATGAATATTAGTTGGCATTTCTAAGTGCTTGTAATGGACTGGGCCAAGTGCTAAGCTGTGCAAAGATTCTCACTGAACATTAAGAACAAACCTTTAAGATAAAACAAAACCTGAGGCTTAGAGAGTTTGAATAACTTGCTCAGGCTCCTAAAACGACATGTGCAGAAGTAGAACTGGGACGCCAGCCCAGGCGGTCTGCGAAGAGCCCATCGTCAACCAGGAAGCTGTGCTCTGTCTGCCCTTTTTGGGTAACGAAGCGAATACATTTTGACAATAAGGCAAAAAGTGCTTTCCTAGTCAAAATGCCTGAGCGTGGAAGGCTGCTCACGGGGACTCAGAGGTATTGAGGATGACATCTCTCTGACTGTGCTGCTGGGCAGGGGACTCTTCTGAGTGAGGGGGATTCACCCTGTGCTGCTGAGATCTGGGCCCTGAGCACTGGATTAAACCAGCCCAGAATGGGAGGAGGCAGGACTCAGGCTTGCAGAGCTGTGTGGGTCTGTCCTGATACTAACACATCCCAGGGAGGAATGTGACAACCAAAAGGCCTCAGAGAAGCCAACCGTGTCCATTTTTTTCCTGGAGGAGAGAGGGGGAGTTCATTGTGGGGAATACAAGCCACCTGCCCTCTGCTCTCGACTGTGGGGCAAAAACATCGCACCATCTGTTTTCAGAGTCGAGGGCAAATTCTCCTCCAGAACTTTTCAGTGTCCCTTATTCTGAGTCTGTGCCAACCAGCCCCATCTCACTAATGATTTGGCTGCCAGTATGCTGGGGTTTTTTTGGGAGTGGGGGTGGGGGGAGGCAAGAGAGAGGTCTGGAAGGGGGAAGGGGCACCCCGTTGTAAATGTAATAATGTGGCTTTCTGGATGTCCCTTGAAGGACAAGAGAAGGTCAATGTCTGAGCCCACCAGGCTAAGCATCAGGCCCTGCTTCGGAGTAGCTTAGAAGGTACTCCCAGAGGTGGTAATATCAGCGACACCTCTTGTCTCATTCCCCTTCTGGCCTCCTCGTGTAGCCATCTCGATCATCAGTTAAGATGAGAATCTCTGGTGAGGCTACATTTCTTGTTCCCTGAGTCATCCGTGAGGTCCACTGATCACGTTACTAGATGATGGTGCTAAGCTCAGATAAAGTTTACGAGAGCGTTAATCTGATGCAGCTTCCAGGGTTCACGTAATTCCCACCATCTACAGAATGGGCTGAGCATCCGAGGAGAGGCCATCCTCAGAATGAAGTTACTGGGCATGTTTCTTATTCCTTCTGCCTAGATTCCTGGAATCAGATGAATGGAAAACCTTTAGTAGGGAAGAGGAATGTGATTGCTGGGCAGGGTCTTGGGGGTCAGGAGGACCCAACAACTGGCTTGGCCACTTGTGTGACTTCTGAAATATGTGGATATCAAAACTGATCTCGTATAAGATTAAATGACTTAAAGTATATAAAATGCCTAACTGCACTTGGTACATAGTAGTTGCTCAATAAATTGTTCTTATACTTGAGCAATAAATTGCTCAATAAACTGTTCTTATATTATCATATAATAATTATGCAGTTCTTATTTTTTAAATGAATGAAACATCTCATTACCAAATCCATTCAAAGTAAGCATTGATACTAATGATTCTCTATGCTTTTTTTTGTATATTTCTAGAATTCGGTTATATCTGGGATTTAGGCACTTTTCATCTGAAAAAATACATTCAGCATTCTACATGGATTTGAGAACTGTTCTTCTCTGAACTAAAGCTGGAATATTTGGGGATTTGGAGAATTAAGGTAAAGGATTTTTCTCCTTCTGAGCCTTGTGGGATCAAACATAGCTTTTGGAATTGATGGTTGGGTTGTGGTTCTGGAATTTTTGGCATGTCTTCTGGTCAGTGCTGCTCAAAAGTGCTGGGGTAGCTGGCTCCCCATAGCCTCACTCTGACGTGGTTCCCAGTGTTTGGTCCACTTGGTCATTGTGCCTAGGAAGCTCTCCCTCTGTCCCTAGCTGAGGAAGGACCCACTATCTCTTAGGTGAATACCCCACTCCTGTCCTCCTAGCAGAAGGTGTGGGATGCTCCAGCTGTCTCACTAAGACACATGGAGGCTGAGCTGGGGAGAGGAGGGAAAGGTGGGGTAGGGCTTACATAATCAGGTCAAACCATCTCCTGGGTCATTCGGAGCATGAGCTCTTCCCCTCCTCCCAGCCCCACTGGCAGTCCTTGAATCTTATTCTCCAGCCACACTAAGTCTGAGGCTGCACAGGATAAGAGATTTAGCCCAAGGGCTTCAGGCAGATCTGTGTTTTCCTGATTTTGCTTCCCGCCTTCCCTTGGACAAATCACTGCCCCTCACAAAGCCTCGGTTTCTTCATTTGTAAAATAGGGATTGTATTAGTACAAACCTCATGAGGATGTCACTGGTACTGAGTGAGACAGTGGAGATAAAGAGATTAGCATGCTGCCCGGCATGGGGAAGGAAACGCTTCAAAATGGAAGCGGTGCTTTTTAAATTTTTTTCTTAATTCATAAGTTACACCATTTAGACTTATTTCTGTGGACCAGGCTATTTCATAGTCTTTGGTCTGCTGTTCTCTCTGCCTTTCACCTGCCACCAAGTCTGCCTGGGAAACGGCTCATGAATCCCCTTCCCCAAAGCAGAGTTGCTGACTCCCTCCACTGGCCTGCAATGGGCAATTTAAGACATGCCTCCATTATGCCTTGGCTACTGCACTGGGTTGAAATTTTTCTGCCTGCCCCCCACCCCCACCCCATCTCCCCTATCGCTGGTGAACTTGTTTAGAGCCAGGACTGTCTTCCATATCCCAACACCCAACTCAGTGCCTGGCCCAGGTTTGGGCCTCACACTGTAGATGTTGAAAGAAAAATGAATGAATCATTGAAAACAAGAGAGTAAAGAGAGGAAAAAGAGACAGGAGAACCAAAAGAAGAAAGTTTGTATAGGTTCAGAGGAAAGAATGATGCCAGTTGCAATTTTTTTTAAACAAGATGTTGGAAAGAATAAGTAACATAATGAAAAGGAAACAAACATGATTCCTACCATGAATTTAAAAACGACGCAAGGGTGGGAAGGTGAGTGAGAAGAGGTGGACTGGTGAGAAGAAAGACAGGAAAGTCAGAACTGAGAGGGCAGCAGAAAACTGTGCTAAGGCTGTGCTACTCACGTCATCTTTCATGTTGTGCCTTAAATGTTCCAGAGTGCATTTGCATTTCTGGTCTGCTACGGTGTTCGGCATTCCTGTGACACACAGAGATATACAGCATGAAGCCTTGCCCTTCAGCCAAGGTCACGAGACTGGCATGCACACAGGATTCTCCACACCACCAGGCGTATGCAAGGCCTGGGCAAGGTCTCTTCTCCCTGTGGGGAGGCTTCCTGGAGAGGGGGCTGCCTCTTGCGGCTCCTGAAAGATGCTTCTGAGTAGGCCTCCCAGGAGCTGAGCTGATTAACAATTAAGAAGCCTGTCCGTATTGAGCACTCAACACCCTCATGTGCTCACGTTTCCCATTCATTTTAATTTCATGATTTTTCCACTTCTGGTGTTGAAACTCACCTGCAGTGTGTGCGGCGGACAGGCTTTCCTGTGTGAGTGCCACATGACGTTCTTTGGTGCTCAGGACTCAATCAGTCCTGGAGTAGTGTTTTAGGAGCCTGTACTCCTGATTCAGGTAGTTGGCTTTGGGAGCACGAGGGTATGTAAAAGGGCATGCTATGGGTTAAATGTGTCCCCCAAAAGTTCATGTATTGGAAACTTGACTCCCACTATAACAGTGTTTAGAGGGTGGGAAATCTGATTATGGTAATTGAAAGGTGGGGCCTTTAAGAGGGGATTAGTTTGTGAGGATTGTGCCCTTGTGAATGGGTTGATCAATTCATGGAGTAATGAGTGTGGCTCTGATGGCTTTGTAAGGGGGGCAAGTGAGAAGGTTAGCTCTCTCCTGCTCTGTCCACTCTCACCAAGTGACACCTGGTCTCCACGAGACCCTGTAGAGAGATCCATCCAGAAGAAGTCCCTCACCAGATGTGTTCTGTGGACCATGGGCTTCCTGGCTTCCAAAACTGTAAGAAATAAATTTTAGGGCCGACCCCATGGCTCACTCGGGAGAGTGCGGTGCTGGGAGCGCAGTGACGCTCCCACCGCGGGTTCGGATCCTATATAGGAATGGCCGGTGCGCTCACTGGCTGAGCGCGGTGTGGTGCGGACGACACCACATCAAGGGTTGCGATCTGTGTCCCCCAAAAGTTCATGTATTGGAAACTTGACTCCCACTATAACAGTGTTTAGAGGGTGGGAAATCTGATAATGGTAATTGAAAGGTGGGGCCTTTAAGAGGGGATTAGTTTGTGAGGATTGTGCCCTTGTGAATGGGTTGATCAATTCATGGAGTAATGAGTGTGGCTCTGATGGCTTTGTAAGGGGGGCAAGTGAGA